ACAAGGACACGGGTAAGGTGACATAATGACAACTTAGTTCCAGCAAAATAACAGCCGAGGAAATATATTCTGGTACAGCAATATGCCTATGATCATTATTCCAGGGACATCATCACATGATCTGAAAATCTGGTGACGTTCTGACAGTTTCTTCACAATTATTATAACCGGAAATCACGGTGTTATACAGCCATGTATTTTTTTATAGAAATTGTTGTAATTAAAATGTTACATTGTCACTACATTTAAATAAACATTTGAGATTAATAACAAAGTACATAACCCTTTGAATTGGTGATAATGTTAATATGCCTCATTACCAACGGAGCTGAAATAAGACCTTAGCCTGCACTTGCTGCAGTTTAATTTTATTTTTTTTGGCTCCTAAGTTAAAGCATTTTGTCACTGAACTGATGTGATCGAAAAAATGTACAGTTCTTAATTAAATTCTTGAAAAGTAAATCCAAACAAAATCAAAAACGTAAACAAATATACAAGATCTTAGACTCCCTGTTGCATATTTCTTATCCATTCAACTTGGTGTAATGCATACAAATTGTACCGCTGTATTTTTCATTGGTACAAGGATATTAAAAATATGTTGAATCACAATCTGACGTTGAATTCATTTGAAGAATGATTACATCCTTTGTAAAAAGGTAATAAAACTGTCCTGACATTAAACAGAATATAAAAAAATACTATTCAATTGAGTCATAACATGCAAAATGCATTTGCAACGCTGAATGCAAACATATTTGTAAACATACAAATTTCAAAGACATTTAATAAAAGAAGATGACAAAATCGGCCATACAATTGGTGAAAGTCATGTAAAAGTTATGTGGTACAGAGAAAACATGTTTTAATTAATTGTTGATAATGGATCCTTAAAGTCCTGTATCACCAGGCAGAACATAAACATGTCTTGTAAACACAACAATAAGTTTTCAATAAAACACTACATGGTTGTATATTTGACGTACATCATAGATTTAAAGCAGCATGCCTCCTGATTCATGCTAATTGTCATGAACATTTTGAAAATGTAATTTTTTTTTTAAATTGTGAAGTGAACAAAAAAGGTAATTTACATATTGCAAATGGCATTTACAATCCATGTTAATTACCAAAGTGGTCAAAATATGTAAAAATTATAGCCCTCACTGTGTTTATTCTTGTCACACAGTAGAAATATGGTGATATATAAAAATTACAAATTAAAATCAGTCATCAATCCACAATAACATGTAAATTAATACTTGAATCTTAAAACTTTTTACTTTTCTTAATATTAGTATATTTTCTCTAGTTTAATTTTCTTGAAATATTTTGGCTCATCATGCAGCTTTTATTCAAGCCATCAAATGTTACCTAAAATAAACTTTGAAAAGCAAAGAACATACCATATGATGTTTCTGTCATATTAATCCTTCTAACTTAAATATATTATTCCACTTTATAAGTCCTCATCTGAACAATATGGTTCTTAATTAGACAGCACTGGTAATTAAAGTTAATTTAGAAATGTCCTATAATGCTGAACATAATTTTTGTATCCAGTTATGACATAGAATATAACTGTAACAATTACCGTACATATAAAATTGTTATAAAGATTTTACACGAAACTTCACCATAATCAATTTTCTATAAAAAATTAAAATCTCCAATGATGCAACCTGATCTTAATAGGTTAGAAACATTTTTCATTCTAGAATGTTCAAAACATGAATCAAGAAAGAGGAAAAATAAAAAAATAATTTAGTACCCTTAAAATAGCAGAAAGATATAAAAGCCATTAAAATACAGTCAGAAGAGCTTGTATCACAAGATGATCTTTATCCACTTTGATTTGTAAAGATTTTATAAAGATAATTTAGAAAGAAAAGCCACAAGGCCACGTGCCAACTTTTATAGACAGACTTTTTTACAGGTTTTAATTTTATCGGCTGTTATTATTTCTAATGATCTCCAGTCGCACTAAAAACAGTACCAAAGATTGCTTTACACAACTTGTCCCTACGTAATCCTTTGTAAATACGAGAATTTCATTTATTATGTATATATAAATGTTTGCATTCATTTCAAAATGCACTTAAATGTTTAATCTTCAATGTCAACATAGACCAAGTCCTAGCTGTCCTCAGTTTTTTTCCCCTTTCTATTTTCCTTAAAATAGCTATAGAAGTACATGACAACAGTTGTGTTTGTTTGCTTATTTGTTCAGGAAAACAATCCTGTTGGTCATATGATGATACCCGCTTAGTTTGTTAGATGACCTTGTCCATAGCATCTTTCAATCTGGACTAAACAATTCATAGCGAAAATTTCAAAATATATTCTATCTGAATAGTGTACAGTGCCGACCTTGATTAGTTAATACAAATTTATTTTAGTTCAATCGTGTAGGAAGCTATAAGCTTATTGAAGCATTCTCGAATCCATTCCTAGAACTATCCAGTACTTAGCAATAAATGTAAAGTTTCTAGCTCAAGGAAACAACGGCATGCCCCTGATGGGGTTTGAACCCACGCGGCCAGCAACCCTTAAATTACTAGTCCGATGTGATTACCAATCAGCCATGCAGCCAACTTGATTTGATGGGCTCAGACTGATCATGGTTAATGCACTAGTATATTATTTATGTTGATGTGAAGGTTTGAAGACAATATTATGGTATGCTAATGTATACAATTAATGACTGCCATATTTTATAAACATAATATTAAAATAATGATAATAAAATTTATGTATAAAACATCTGCTCTATACGAAACAGTCTGAAACTATTTCAGTCGTTTTGAAATGAATGCTGAATGTTTTAAAGACGGACCAACTTCCTGCAGTTGTAACGTTACTGCCAACATTCCTTTGATCAAAGGCTCATTGATACTGCATCTTTAAATGGCAAATGTTTAATTCTGAATATTTGATGAGAGTAGTAATAATATTACATTAATTGTCACAGTAAAAAGCTAAACTAATCAGTGTGAAACATTAAGGAATTTATAAATTGATGTTAATGACTTTGCACTGTAATAATGTGGCTTAAAAAAAGCAGACACAATGAAAATACCAGTGAATCAAAATGACCCTGTTCAATAAAAAAAACAACAAAGAAATACTGCAGTGTTTATTCAAATTAGACAAGAATAAATTGTGTTTTTGTTTACATTCTGTTTTCACAAGATCTCAATTGATTGTGCTTGTCAGTTATTAAGTTCTGAATGTCTGTCAGTTTTGAAAGTATCCATCTTATCATTACAGCTGGTTAATTTACTTTCTTAACAGTTTTCAAAATATTGTACAGTTTCTGCCAACAAATCATTTAAATCAATTGATGGTAAAAGAGAAATAGGAATACAATGGTAACCATAGAGTAATATATAAAACAACAACAACAACAGTGTGACCGTTGAAAAGGACATGAATATAATTTTTTTATGTAAACTTCATGCTACCTAAAAATTCCTTAATTAAAGCTGCATGCCTTTAGATAACCCAAAATATTTCAAGAAAACCAAACTTGAGAAAAATGTAATTAATCACCATATTTCTACTGCATTACCTAAACGCAATAAGGACTATTTGTACATATTTTCAATATTAAAATGCTGGCCTCAAACCAGAGATTCTATATATACAAAATTAATAATCTATCTTGATTTTTATAAAACACCAAAGTTTAAAAAAAATTCTGGAAATTTTATCTGGCAGTTGTTTTTACTTTACCTAAATAAAATCATATTTTAGATAAAACATGCCCATGATCTACCAGTATAATGTATGTATACAATGTAAAATTACAAAATCATTTTATCAGTATTTCCAATAAAGATATGTGAATTATAAATATCAAAGATGGTATCTTTTCAGCCTCAGCTGTGCAAATCCAGGAAAGATAACTTAAGACAAGAAAATGCATGAATTATTGAAGAATATAAATTTAGGAGTTGTGGAATGCAAAATTAATCGGAAATAAAGTTTTTATCATGGAAGCATATGACCGGGAATGGGGCAATATTAACCACTTTAAAGGGTAGCTTTTTTTATCTTACGAAGATGAAGTACATAATTTTATATATATAAAATTATAGTTACCTGTTAGACTTAAAAAGACACCAGGTGAAAAGTTTAAAGCAAGCTAGTTATTACATCACTCACCTGAGCTTTAATAGTGCCAAGTGATTCTTTTTGATACTATGTAACTATATAAAAAAGGAAAAGTCTGACCTATTGACCTAGTTTACAAATAAGTTAACATGAGAAATTTTGAGTAAAAATTTTAATATTTGATCAATCTAACAGCCTGATATAAAGGCAGAACATGCTTGCTTTAAATACCAAAATATACCTTTGTCAAATATCTCCCTTTAAGTTTGTATACTTTTGTTTGCATAACATTTTGTAGATAAAAGAATGAAACTACTTTCAAGTAGTCTGTAAAACTGATAAAACGTCATATAAATTTATCTTCCCCAGTGTATAATGATAGTACATCTAGCCCTAATGATATTTTTATGCCAGTAATTTTATCTATACCATTAACTGTAAGATGTCATTATCAACAACAGTACACAAGTAATAAACATACACCAATAAATCATAATATATTTACATGAGTATATACAGAAACTTTTGATTTCTTTTTCATGAGTCAGATATTGATTACGACCAAACACAAATACATGGTTACTAAGATGCAGGGCTTAAAAACTTACCTTAAAATTACCTAGCCCTAACATATCGAACCAAATTAAAATTTAATGTACTTTCAAAAAATTGAGTAAAAGTTAAAAATGTACAAAGAGAGATAAAATACTTGTATTTTGTTTAAAATAAAAACAAAAAAAAAACAAGATTTCCTAAGTATTTTTTATCAGTATAATTGTAGAACCAGTACTATGTCTGAGCGATATGATTGGACGAAAGTTAAATTATTACTACGACATGTACAATGTAAAGAAAGGGCAAAATAAACACCAAAAAGAACTTACTACTGCAAGTTAACGTAAGTTCCGATATGCATTAATGACATTTTCCGTTGAACCGGAAATACCGGAAGATTGGACCGGTCGTACTGGAGACTACCTCGTCGAAAAGTACCGGTATCCATATTTTTTCCTTTTTTTTTAAATATATTCACCAACAAAAATCCATTTTATAAAAAACTTCCAAATGTAAATTTCAATAAGACATCTAGTGGCCTCTGAATAAACATATATTCATAAACACATTGATTTTAAATATTTTCGTATAAAACTTTAAATCCAAAAAACGATAATTTGATATCGGATAAATTTTATCCATTTCCACACGCCACAATACACCAAGTTAAGGCCTTCGGTGTCAAATGTTGCTTAGAGCTTTGCCTAATGACCATTTATCAGGACATACTCTTTACGTATAAAACTTCTTTAGGATAAGCTGTATAGAAACTTAATAAACATGTCTCGGTATTTTAGGCTTCATTCACCTGTTAAATCCATATTAATCCAGAACTAAATCCAATCCAGTTATTAATCCATAAAGATGACCTTTATTTACAATATATATTAATACTAACATGCTGTTATATATCAGAAGAAATATCGGTGATCTCGATTTTTTAAAATATATCAATTTATGAACAGCAAATACGAGGTATTTCAGACTTTAAAATACATTTACTATTATGTATAGAAGATTACATAGTTTGACAGCAAGAAGCTAAAACTGTTATGAGGAGACATAATAAATCAAACATGTTTATGCAGATGACATAACTAACAGAGTAGGAGGCCTGTTATATTTAAACAGTAAGTGAAAAAAGTTAATGCATTTGTCCATTTATAGTAGTACAAATATTAAAATCATTTAATTGTTTAAATCTATCTGTCACTCAATCAGGGCAACAAAGAATTTATATTTTTATCAAGATGGCATATAAAGAAGCATGACATAAACAATCGCTGATTTCCGGCAAGGATAGGTGTCTTACCATCTCAGTGCCGGAGGTGTCAGAATTGCCATCATAGTATTCCAGAGACCGAGTGTGGCTGTTTTTTTTAAATCTTCACAAGTTTTCATGTGTTGATAATTGCATGTTATTACAATTCCCTGTAATTATCACTCTACCATGCAGGCATTAAAACACCACAGTGCTAACTGTTTCATGTCACTTAACTTCTGTAAAATGTATTCATCAATTTACATGGTAAATCAAAACACATGCCAAAGGGAGACAATCAGGAGGTGAAACATGTAACATGTGTCAAACTACATACATATTAATTAAACAACTTCATGATTAAAACTAGCTATAATAAAGCAATATAATAACTAATGAGCATATTGATGTTCAAATTAATGTACTAATTATAGATCCTCTGTTAATTATACAATGTATATAAACTATTCTGTAATGTCAACTCCGGTTTCCGCGCACTTTTAGACCGAGCATTTCCGTCTTGTTTATGACAATAACTTGTTATTAAATCTACCACAAACACACTCCATTAAACCATCACCCTTATATACCAACCTTAATCCAAGCAAAAACCCTAAATCCTAATGTCAGTGACTGAGATTTTACACAAATGCTTAGACTGAATACATTTAAGTTTTTAATAGGTGTATGGAATCATCTTGAAAATAATATCAAACTCAACACCACATACCTTTAATAACCGTTATCCACATACAGTAATGATAAAATTATCCGAAATAGCCATTTGAAACATAAAAGAGAAACTTCCCAACTGTTACACATATGTATTATTATATATCGACTATTATTGTGACCAATTCTGACAGGTTTGTTTACAAATGGGCAGATACCGCAATATGTGTCACTGTGTAGACTAAACGCACCTCCATGTACCGTTATCTTATTTCCGCATGTCAAACTTCCCATTCAATAAAAAGGTAAATTGAACAACCACTCTTACTTAGTGTGATTCGCAAAACTTACCAATTTCATGAAAAACATAATCCTTGTACAATCCAATAATCCAGCAATCAGTAAAATCAACTCCATAAATCGTGTTCACATCCAAAGCATTCCAAATGTTATGCAAAATTGACAAAGGTATCCAATTGATGGCCACGATTAAAGGTCAACAGTACTTGAAAATGTTTCAATATCTACCTTTAATGTTTCTTCAAGGTATTTATCAAACTGTAAATGCAGTAAATTGAAATTCTTTTCCCTTGATTTCACAAAATTTAATGTATTTTAAAAACATTTAAAAATCAAAACTATTTTTAATGTTGGAACAAGATTTAAGCTAATAATAAACAAGACATTTTTAGCATTGATAAAATATTTACGCACACAGTATTCTATTACGCCATGTTTACCTAAAGCTTTCATTAATTCCAACGATTATAAAAATACAAAGTATGCAGCATTTTCGATACATGTAGTTAAGTCTTTGAACATTCAAGAAAAGAAAACATGCACAATATTCCAATTTTTGCAATCGATTTAAACGCAAGACTATTTAAAGTGAATCGTAATTTTACAACCAACAGAATTTTCAACTGTAATATGAGCTTCGATCAATTCCTTAATACAGAATACTTATTTTTCAACCTTTAATAGATAATTGGTTACCATAGTTACTGATAAACAAAATTGTCACAACATAATGATTGGATGAGTTTGTTGACTTGAAGCACTATATTATACTAACCTTGATACAATATTAGAAAATAAATATACAGTGAAGAAGAAATATAGCAATGTCAAATCAGGAGTGTAGAAGATCATTACCTTAATTACCAACTGATGCTATTCATTTAATTATTGCTTATGTTAGATTTTAATTACATTCAACTAATTACAACTAATTTTAAGGATTTTCATAAAACAAAAATACAAAAAGTGAGAAGTAATATCAGATGCTGCAAGCTTGCATAACTGAAGCAGTTAGAGCGTGAGTCTAGTAATGTCCATATAGAGGGTTCGATCCCTCACTCACTGGGCTGGCCAACAAAAATAACTAAAACAGTCTCACGGTCCTGTATATGAGTGACTAAACACTTGGCATGTTAAAGAACCAGGAGAAGCTTCTGGAATTGGGGCATGTTTCTGTATCTCATAATATCTTGCACTATCCTCCAAAATCTAAAATGACCGATACTCTTCTGGAGGACTCGCCCATATGGGCAACCAGTGGTGAGTATCAATTAACTCAAAAACACACACAGAGTAATATCAAAAGCCCATTTTGACTGCACTGACAGTGCCGGAGGTCTGATTTGGCTTAATGTTTATCTAAGGCAGCCAAGGTCTGCACTTTATATCATGTCTAGAATTCATAGTGTTGTTTACATACAGAAGAACAACATTCTGTTTTGTTAAATCAACAATAAGCAACAGTGATTGAGACATTTATTGCTTTAATTTCAAACTGTCCTACCACTAACAGGCAATATTTGTCATAAATCTGATTTATTATCTAAGGATATACAAATATCAACGTCAATTTTTGAAAATAATGTTTCCCAAAAAATTATAATAAAGTTGAAATCATGTTTTTGATTATCTCGTAACATTACGAATGAATGCGTCTATTCACAAGTAAAAGCCACTATCATATAAAAACAGACACTCAAATATTTAATAATTCATAAAAATCTATAATTGGTGCTAAAAAAGTCAATTTTATTGCTTCAATATCATCTGATAATAGCGTAATTCAAAACATTATCTCACAAATCTAGTGGGTGATCACAAATGAATTTCTATCTGCATTTAATATTAAATTATAAGGCTAAAACATTTATGTGGAAATATGAAAATTATGGTTCAAATTAACGGAAAAAAAGCTCTTCTGAAAGATATGATCAATAATTGAATTTGAATTGTTAAGATTTTTGCACCAAAATTTGCCCTTTTTTTTTATAACATATTTTGTTAAGGTTGGGTTTAAAGTTACTATGACACTATCAAGGTCATATTATTGGTGAGTTTCCAGCAGTTTCACTTGAAGAAGACAACTTCAGGTGCCCCCCTGCAATTCATTTCAGGTAAAAGGGATGACCCAAGTAGATGATATGCCACAAATCCTCTACAAACTTTTAACACTTTGAAAATGATCAAGATGAAAGTTTTGAAGCCCAGTACCCTTTATTTGTCTGAGGTCAGACTACCAGGATTATGCTTGCTGACCTAAAACTTGTAAATAAAATTTGAACTTCAAATGAATGCTGAAATGGTTTTCAGAAGCTTTTCATTCTCAGTGTTATGACAATTCTAATGATATCACATAAAGTTTTTAATATTTTCCACATATCTATATTATTAGTCAAAGGTAACAAGAGATTTGGAAGAAATATCAAAATACTATCACTTTCCGTACCTTAATAAAAAGCTAAAGATCTATTTACCTTAGACTTTTGTTAGTAAAAATCCTCATTTTTTCCAATACAACAACTAAAATAACATCTGAAATGTTAAAGTCCAAGTAAGTCAAGACTGATTTGACTGAAATATTATTTTATATACTGTCAAATGCTTAAGGAAAGCAAACATTTTGTTTATATCAGAAAATGTATACATCTTTACAAAGAATGTCCTGTTTAACTTCCAAAACAATTTTCCACTTTAAACTGATTATTAAAATTTTCTGCACCATCAATGGCCAAAAGTTGAACATGACAGCTCTTTGAATCTTCTTTGATGGTTAATGACCCAAAGTATGACTAGGACTTCTCATATAATTGACTAGAAAATACATAACAGCCCTTATTTGATTCAAATGACCGATAAGAAATCAAAACAGTTTAGTTTTCAAGCGATTTATAATAATGGGGCGGCCCTCTATGACAGCTCTGCCACTTGTAAAGGGAGGTAATTTGAGAATATCTCCTTAAATGAATTGTGCATATTTCCTTGTGACCATGAACAATAACAAGTGTCTGACACTGATCGCGATTTAACACATTTCAAGGTCTCGGATCACCATACCCGCAAGGAATTTCAAAATATTGGTGGGAATTAAACAATAAACAAATTCAAAATTATAGTAGTAAATATAGGTTCCATTTAAGAATCATTTTTGAAAAAATCAACAGTAAACAACTTCAAAAAATCGTAGAATCAATTAAAAAAACGGTCATCTTTTTAAA